CCTTAATTTTTGTTGCTGTTTTCTGCAATGAAATGTAGTGTCTTTCTAACATTAGTCAGTTCTTTCAACTTTGGACAATTTAAACTTAGCCATAATATTGTAATCTGGAATAGTTGCTTCTACTTTCTAAGCACTGCTTTCATTCTTGGACTTTCTTTTGGAATGATTGGGCTGGCTGTTATAATTCTTTCTTTCACCAACAATCTCTCTCATTCTAGCTATTGAATGCCCAAACCTGGATATTCCTAAGAATGGAGAATTAAACTGTTCTCATCCACATGGACGTTTTGCTTATAATTCCAGTTGTGCATTCTCCTGTGATATAGGCTTTGTACGCATTGGGACAAGTCAACTTCAGTGCACAGATTTGGGAAAGTGGAGTGCAGCCACACCTAGTTGTGAAGGTAAATAAAGAATACAAACTTGGCAGTTAGATAGAGAATCCAGTGCTGTTTATATGGTATGTAGAACAAGAAACAGACTAAACTAGAAACAAACAATTATTTTGTTTAGTATATACTTTTATTAGTGGAGGAAGGAGATGGAAAAGGGACGTTTGTGACTTCAGACTTGTCTGATGTCTGCCCTTCCAGGTAAACCAGACAGGAAACACAACTAGATAAACAAATTATATTTTATCATAAGGCATTATTACATTAACAGAATTTTGAAAGTCTGAAGGTACAAACGTCTCTCTTCTACTTTTAACTATTTGATCTATAAAGATGGGTCCTCTCTTCATTTCCTTCTCTGACCACTGGAGGCCCTTTTTCCGCAAGATCATTCATAATTACATTACACCTCTCATGTAAACCCAATAAGAAAAAAATACCCAGGTCATTGTATGGACTTGACATTTCTATGTTCCCTTTTGAGTTTTAAAACATCAGCTACTGTATATACTCGAGTATAAGCCTAGTTTTTCAGCCCATTTTTTGTGCTGAAAAAATCCCCCTCGGCTTATACTCGAGTCAGATTCCCCTCTGAAAAAAAAAATGGTGTGGAGTCACGGCCTCCGGCGGCAGCGACTCCCAACAGCCCCAGCCGGGAAGGGAAAGGCAAAAAGCACTTTGCCTTTCCCTTCCCGAGGCGGCGGGACTGGGGCCGCGCCGGCGGTAGTGACTCCTGACTCAGGGGGCCTCCGAGGGAGGGGAAGAGAGTGACTCCTGCCTCCCGCTGTCATCATCATCTTCTTCTTTTGGGTTAGTGAATCAATTAAACCTTTCATGATAGTGAGATCGTTTCCCAAATTAATTATTTTTATTTTTGAAATTTACCAGTAGCTGCTGCATTTCCCACCCTCGGCTTATACTCAAGTCAATAAGTTTTCCCAGTTTTTTTGTGTAAAATTAGGTGCCTCAGCTTATATTCGGGTCGACTTATACTCGAGTATATACGGTAGTTTATTTTGTATACACAGTGAGACATCCTTTTCCAAGTTGTTCTTTTGCTCTGTCATTTGTAAATCCACTTTCACTACCATCTCTATCTTGTTAGGTAAAATTTGTTCCATATCTGTGATTCAATAACATCTTTTGGACAGAGTCTGTCCATGGAGACAGACATAATGACAGACACTGTGGACATTGTGTCAATGTTCCCAATCTCTAAAAAAGATCTATTTATCCCAAGAAGCTGTTTGTTCTTTATAATTAATTTCAAAATATTATTATAAAAGTTTCGATACTCCAAACTTACCTGACCCTTAGTCTGTTTATAACTTTGTAAGATCAAACTTTATTTATAGTTTTGGGATGTTTATTTTAAATTATTTAAATTCTTAAGATTATGATTAATATTTTCTTTAATTCAGAATTGAAGGCGAACTTATTGGGTGTTTTTCTGAAGGTCTCTAATAATCTAAAAGTTTTCTAGATTGTCCTTCAAACATATATTCATCCTGACTGTTCATCCTGACTGTGGCAAGGAATAAGTAGAAAGGTGATCACTTATCTAATGTTAGTTTGCTAATTCCTTCCTAAGGGAAGGGGAGCTGCCTGAAGCTCTGAAGGAGCCTATGAAGTGCTCTCTTCTGAAAAGGCCACATTATTTCCTGTGATCCTAGAAAGCCCTCCTTCTTGGAAAAGGTTGTTGAGACAATGGTGATGGATTAAGTACATAACACTCTGAAAGAAGCAGATTATCTGTATTCTTTTCAATCAGGGTTCAGAGTCAGATAGGAGACAAAGAAGACTTCTAAATGACCTTGTTGGAGTTAGTGTTCCTCTTCTGGTCTTTTAGGGCTCTTTATGGCTTTTCATTTGATCTGCCATGATGATACCCAATTATATATTGCTACCCCAGACGATAGGAGAGACACTGATGCTTTATCCTGGTGTCTAGAGACTGCAAAGGTTTGGATGGGAGTAAATGGGCTAACGTTGAATGGAAGCAAGACCGAGTTGCTGTTTGTACATTGGCTTCTCCACAATTCCAGTGGTGCCTCTGGATGGGCAGGTGCCACCTCTATGAAACAATATATTCTCTGTTTGTGGATTCTTCTGGACTTATGGGCAGATGCATGAGGGGGAAATGTAAACTCTGTCTAGAGGGATTTTGCCTAGCTACAACTGGAGTATCACCCAAAACCTTACAGGAGGACTTAGGTGTAGTAAATTATGCTCTCACCACCACCCATACAGACTACTTCAGTGTGCTTTACTTGGGGCTGTCTTTAAAGACCACCTATAAATTATGTCTGATCCTGAATGCAGCAGCCCACTTGTTAATAGTCTCCAAATGCTGGGAACATTTAACTCTCATACTACAGGCCTTGCTGTTATTACTGATTCAGTTTGAAGTATAACTGAATTGCTGGTTTTAATCTATTAAGCTTTTAAAGACTTGGCACCAGTTTCTTTCAATGAATAATATACTTCAAAGTTTATTTCAACCAGAGTAGTCAGCCTAGCCCATCTTCATTATGTTTACTAAATCATATTTGCTCTTGTATACTAAGAGATCAAACTTATTATATTTCCATGCTAGAAGCATTCATGTATAGACAATGAAACCCATGAAGTTTATGAGCCAATTTTCTTTCTCATTTTCACTGAATGCTTTGGGAGGAAAGGAGGAGGTCCCATTTCAACAACATTCCATCTCTTATAGTGTGCATATCTTAGTGGCTTTAACAGCTAGTGTTGTCCTGTGATTGAATGAATTGCCATCTATCCAGGTGGGAGATGGAATAATTCATTTAATGGAAGACAAAAAAAAAAAAGATGATAGAGTTGACCACCTGACTGAGAAGCATTAGAAAGCTTTGCGAGCCTTCAAGCACTGTATGGGGTTTATTTTCAGAAGAGGTGATAAAACTTTAATAATTAGTCTAAATTTGTCCTTCCACTCAACTTGCAAATTAATAAAAATAGTTAAAATACAGTAAGCCTGCAATGCTGTATCTTCAAAAGAAAACTGACTCTATAGAAGTGTGATTCTGAAAACACTTATTGTTGATAAAAGACAGGAGCAGAAAGTAGCATAACTGCCTTTTTACAGTATGGAACTGATTGATTACCTGTGAAAACATAATTGAACAATATGCATTATTTGATTCATCCAAGATGATATAGTTTATTTTAATTTGTACTTGTACCTGTTTTAGCTGTCCAATGCCCACCACTGAAAACCCCAGAAAATGGCAAAGAAAATTGCTCTAATCCTTATGGACATTTTGCATATTACTCCAGCTGCACCTTCTCCTGCAACTCTGGGTTTCAGTTAGCTGGGTCAGAGAAGCTGAATTGCACAGATCAGGGAAACTGGACTGGACAGACACCCATCTGTGAAGGTAGGTTTTAGGAAACAATGTGGGTTGGAGGCTCGAAATTCTCTATCTCTATCATGGTGGCTTATCTCCAAATCAGGGGTGGGATTCAAATTTTTTAACAACCTGTGGGTGTGGCTAAGTTGGTGGGCATGGCTTGGAGGTCATGTTATTGGCTGGGCGTGGCCAACTCAATATCACTCACATCGAGGCACGCATCTCCTCACCTGGCCTCTCATGACTGTGGGGATGCTGCAACAGTCGTAAGTGTGAAAAATGGTCATAAGTCACTTTTTTCGTGCCATTGTAACTTTGAATGGTTACTCCATATAAGCAAAGTACCAGCAAAGGAGGGGGAAAAAACTCCAGAGATGTTCCTGAGACAGGAAGTCTAGTCCTGCCAAGAATGTAATAAGGATTAACAGAGAGGCAGTTTCTGTAAGCAACATCAAAATGTTTCCTTCCTGCCTTCCTTAAAGGATTAGGCCAGTAATTTCTTCTAACAACTGGTTCTCTGAACTGCTTTGAATGTTAACAACCGGTTCTAGCAAATAGGTGCGAACCTGTAGAATCCCACCCCTGCTCCAAATCAAATGTAGCTTTATTTTTAGAGCTGGTAAAGTCATATAATTTTTTGAGGATTTCAAAAAAAATGAAATAAATATTTAATTTTCAGCAAGTCAATTTTCCTGATTTCTATAATGCCTCTGGTCTTATTTTTGTAGGCATTATATGACAGATATAAAGATACATTACATAGCTTACTCTTTCAGCACACTGCCTGTTTGAATAAGCTTCTTGGTTTATAATTCCAAACAAGTAGCACAGAGGTGGTATTCAGCAGGTTCTGACCAGTTCTGGAGAACTGGTAGTGGAAATTTTGAGTAGTTTGGAGAACCGGCAAATACCACCTCTGACTGGAGATTTTACAGTATCCTTCCCCCGCCACGCCCATCAAGCCACGCCCACAGAACCGGTAGTAAAAAAAAATTGAATCCCACTATTGAAGTAGCAGAAATAACAAATTTGATAGCATTCCACATCTTAGCAACAAAAACGCTTTCTGTATGTTTGGTTTATTACAAGCATATACTGTATAACAGTATATACAGACATGATGGCTCAGGAGCTAAGATGCTGAGCTTTCGACCAAAAGGTCAGCAGTTCAGCGGTTCGAATCCCTAGTGCCCCATAATGGGGTGAGCTTACTTGTCCCAGATTCTGCCAACCTAGCAGTTTGAAAGCACATAAAAAATGCAAGTAGAAAAATAGAGACCACCTTTACCTTTATACAAAAGCATTTTTATTTTATTTTATTGGACTTAGAATCTACCCACCTCCCAGTGACTCTGCGCTCCTGACATAATAAAATAATCAAAATTAAAATACAATCTGAAGTAATATACCAAAGCACATATGCCAATGCTCTATGCAGAACACAACATTTATTTTTCATTGATGTTCTCCCCCCCCTTTTCCCCCCTCTCTCTCATAAAGGAACAATCCTGGTGAATAAGCTACAGATATACTAATTGAGCCTTAAGCATTTAGCACCAAAGAAGCAGTGCTCTTCTAAAATCAAATTAAATAATACATTCCAGTGATAAATGATAGGTAGAATATGAACATTCTGCAGAAATGATGCAAATAATTCAAAAAGCTTAAAATAAACGAGCAATTTTCATACAAGCTTAGTGTTATTTTTTTTGGCCTAGCGTCTAATATTCCCAGATGTTTCTAGTTTGTGAATTTATTATGCAGTAGCTCATCAGTCACTAACAACCTTCTCTTTCATTTGCTGTTCCTATTATTAATTGCTTAATATTTTCTTCCTCCTGCTTCTTTCTGCAACATTTGTAGATCTTTCTCCTAAAGGTTTCAATTTGTTTTTCGCCAGCAATCAAGTGCCCTGAATTGCAGGCTCCAAAGAACGGACAGTTCAAATGCTCTCAATCTTATGGAAACTTCACATATAACTCCAGCTGCGTCTTCTCCTGTGAGAGGGGTTTTAAAAGAATTGGATCCCAAAGGCTGAACTGTACGGCCACAGGAGAGTGGGAAGGATTTGCACTGTCTTGTGAAGGTCAGAGAACTTATCACATTGAGTGCTATATAATGCTTGAAATGCAGGAGGGAAACATCTGCAAGCAAATAACTAAGCTCAGAGAGCACAAAGAATTCCACAGTTCAACATACATTCTCTTCAATTGGAAAAATTGTTTAATAAATGAATGTACATGAACAAAATATATTAGGATGATTTCCTATTTCACTTTCTGTGATTTATGGGAGACGTTCTGCTCCTTGGTTTCATGCCACATGGCTGTAACTGTGAAGGCAAAAAACAGGAGTCTGGTAGCACTTTTTCCAATTACAAATATGATTAACAGCCACATGATTTTGTGAGCTCCAGCTCACTTTAGCAGAAGCACAAAGTGGCCAGACAGATGTAGGATTTAAACTGGGCTAAGTCTGGGGTGGGTGAAAGGAAGACAGATTAGATGTAAAACAGATTACAGGCAACTTATCATCGTTGTACTGTGTTAAAAACCTAATATGTTAACAACCCATTCTGAAAATGGCTGAAACTTTTTGGTATCTGTGAGTACAACACTTTCTCGCTCAATGGTTCTATAGAATAGCAGACCTCAAAATGACTATTTTAGAAAAGCTTTGCTTAGTTTAAATCCTATATCAGTGGGCATCTGATAAAATGAGCTGTAGTCCATGAGAAAAGTGCTATCAGACTCCTGATTTTTTTGCCACCATAGACCAATGTGGTTCTCCTCCTATATTAATTGTGGAGGAGAATCTAACACTTTTCAACTTCACCTTGCAGTGTAAGACCATCTGCAAAAGCCCTCCTTCAATAACGTGCCCGTCTTAGGTAGGGTAGACAACACTGAAGAAGTATTGAGAGGTTTCTTTTTCCCCCTGCAATAACATCCCAACTATCAAATGCCCTTTCCAAAAAGCTTGCCTAATTACATGTAAATTTGATCAACTGGACATTAACATGGTAGGGATACTTTAGGCTCTGTGGCTGCAGGTGGTCCCTGGATGCAATTTGAAGGGATTGGTGGCATTGTTTCCTGAAATACACATCCACCCATCCATTTGTTCATCCCAAATCTGCCAGCAGTCAGGGTCATAGGATGATCTTGGAATCCGGCAAGAGGGAGAATTATTCTCTCTTTCAACAATAGAATCCAAGGTCTGTACACCAAGTGTGTGACGTTTCTTCACAATGTGACCATTTGAGCAGCCTTTGTCCAGCTCTAAATGACCCTGTGATGTACTTTTATTAATTTTAATTCCTGTCTGTCTCCACAGCCATAAAGTGTCCCCCCCTTAAAGAGATGGAAAACATGAAAAAGAACTGCTCCCATCCCTGGGGCCACTTCAGTTACAACTCCACATGTCACTTCTACTGCACTGAGGGCTTCCTTCTCAATGGAACGAGTAAGATGCAATGCCAGCCTGATGGCCAGTGGTCTACTGAGATGCCTGTTTGTCAAGGTACCATGATCTTTTTCTATGCAAATTGCAATCATCATCTGTATCCATTTAAGCCAACACTGGGTCAGCGGTTGCTGCCATTTCCTCAATGATTTTGTTTTGGTATCCACTGAATTATTTTTTTTAAGGATCATAGTACAGTAGTCCAATATATATTCTTTTAAAAAAAATCTTAGTAAAATAATTTCGAAAAACAGTTGCAAAACAGTTCTGTAGTGAGGAGGGTAGGACTTTTGCCAAAGATGTGTGTATTGGTGCTGCTCTCTGCTGGCTTACTCTTATATTTTTTTCAGAGAAAAAGTAATTTATATTTACTTTCTTTACAGTCTCTATGCTTTACAGCTATTGTTATTATGTCCTATCTTAGAAATATAATGAAGCACCAAGACAACATTTCAAAATGGAAATCTTTAATTTATAAGAACTTAACATGTTTCTTTTGACATAGCGATCACAAAGAATAACTTAGAAAGCGCTTACTAATTAATATGTTTAAAAGCATTATTTTGCTGTAATATTTATTTCTCCAAAATGACTCATAATGATAAGAAATGCTGAAGATTTGTAAAAGGTCATATTCTCCCCACTTATCCACCCCTGTTTTCTTCAAAAGTTTATTTTGGCACATTTCCTCATCATGTTATTTCCAAATATAGAAAGTACGTGAGAGATTGTTCAGAGTCTCAGGTCAAGGGTATTTAGTTCTGATGTAAATGGATGGAGATCTGTAGAGCTACAGAGTTAATATTAAGATTTTGGAGTCTTACAAGAGAAGAATGTACTTCTTAGTCGACTTATTTCATTTCCAATATATTGAATTTCAGAAAACGCTGCCATTTACCTAAAGCAAGTTTTGCTTTATACTGGTGGAGTCACAGCATCCCTTGTTCTTTTTATCATCTTTGGGGGCCTGATAGCTCTAGCAATTAAGCGTCTCAGCAAAAGAGGTAAGGAGTTTCACACCGTCCAATTGGGGAATCCCACAGTTACCTGTGTTCTCATCCTCATTAGGGTTCACATTTTTAGCAGATATAATAGTTAAAACTGAATACAACTTCCCATTCCCTCCAATTTAAATGCCTTTCCAAAGTACATTTTTATCCAAAACAGGTAGTCCTCAATTTACAGCCATTCATTTAGTGGCCATTTGAAGTTACAACTGCACTGAAACAGTGTTGCAGCATTCCTATGGTCACGTGATTAAAATTCGGAACTGACTCATACTTATGACAGCTGCAATGTCCTGGGGTCATGTAATCACCGTTTAGACCTTATGATAAGCAAAGTCAATAAGGAAGCTATTTAACGGCTGTGTTACTAAATCAGTAACTGCAGTGATTCGCTTAACAATGGTGGCAAGAAAAATTATAAACTGGTGCAAAACTCACTTAACAACTATCTCACTTAGCAACCAAAATTTTGGGCTCAGTTGTAGTCGTAAGTCGAGGACAATCTGTAGTTCAAAACCACATAATTTTAACTTCACAAAAACAGCATTGCACTGACCATAAAAATAAATAAATCCAGCATTGACATTAGAATAACACTTTTAATGAACCAAAACAATGTATTCGAATGGTCAGCCAGAATTCTTCAGAATTTGGGTTTCCTGTAAACAAGCAGCATAAAGTTGCTTAGAGAGCTGTGGTGGCACAGTGGTTTGAATGGAGTATGGCACACTAACTCTGTCCACTGCTAGGAGTTCGATCCTGACCAGCTCAAAGTTTACTCAGACATTCATCCTTCCAAGGTCAGTATAATGAAGAGCCAGATTGTTGGGGGAATATGCTGTAAACCACTCAGAGAGGACTATAAACCATAACGGAGTGGTATATGAATCTAAGTGCTATTGCGATTAAATGACTCTCTAGTCAATGGGAATGGCTAAATTTAAACCAAATGTGATGACTCTACCATGTTCAGTTTATTGATATGGGTCAATCTGACAGTCTGTCTTATTCCTTCCTAACATAGATTGGCTTTTTAGGAGAGCAGCAATTGTCACAATTAATCAAATCTTCTGAAAAATTATGTGTTACCCAGCAGAGAGGAATAATAAGGCTTATTAGAGGAATAACAAAGAAAAGTTCCCTGATATAAACACATTAATGTATTTTGTATTCTGACTCTTGCGTCAGAATCACTGCTGCTATTTTTACTAATGCTTACATTAATAATTTAATTGTAATATTGTAATCCGTTGGAATAAACTATCTTTTTGTCTTTTTACAACCATCCAATGGGAACTATGACTCCATCAGAAGAGAAAAAGAAGCTGTTAAGTCATACCAGGTACTGACTGCAATATGAAATTACATCAAATTTCCTACATGAAGCTGTAGAACAACGCAAATTTCCATAAAGATTCAAAGTCTAATTCACTTATCATTGCATAAGATTTTATAGATTTATCCTACTTTGTTAAACATATGAAATACTAAGTTAGTAAAATTGCATGCCTGCAAAATGAAGGATAGGAGATAGAGGGGGACTTCCCCTCCCAAAAAACATGTAAAGATGAACAAATATATATGAAAAGCAGATATTTCATTTGTGAATTGAACAATTTAAGGTAGTCAGACACATAGCATGAATCTATATCGAAATATGTACCTTATTTAAAATAGAACTTTTATTCTTATTATAAATAGAACTTGCTGTGTACTCTATTTGCTTAGGACCGAAAGGCTTCTTCCAACACTTTGCAAATTGGCTTTTTATTTATGTATCATCACAGTAAAGAAAAGGGATTTGGAAATATCCTGGAGCAATTGGGGGGGTATCTGTGGGAATAGATGAGTGACAAGTGGATAAGGAGATATCTTGCTGTGTGATGGGTATCTTATGTGTAAAAGGTGTCCTCAACCTTTTTGATTCTGTGGACTGGCAGCAGCTTTGGTGGCAGGGGGAATGGTTTTGTGTGTGCAACCTAAATCCTGTGCATGTGCAAATGAAGCTTTGCAAGCTCACTCGTGGCTTCAACAGTCCAGTTCCCAATGGGTCGCGGCCTGGTAATGGGCCACAACCCAGGGTTGGGGACCTCTACTCTAGATGACTACCTCACTGCCCAAATTAATGCATAACATCTATTCACAAGCTAAGCCAATAGTCAATGCTCTGGATGATCTTATTTGTAGGAGTTGCACTTGTCAACTACTAACTTTTCAGTGGATTTTGATTAAGCAAATGTTACACGATATGAATGCGTTAGTTTTTAAGGTGTCAGAAAATTTGTTCTTGTTTTTGTCTAAAATGTTGTTCCTGGAAGCTCAGTACAAAAGATGTTGCACTACTGAGAATAGCAGCAAATTACAGGATGGTTGTTTTTTCCTCACTCCATATTTCAAAAAGCAATTTCAAGCACTAGGATCATTACATATTAAATTAATTCTGAGATTTTCAGAACCCTAATTGGTAAAGTGTGCCTTGAGGCATTCAGCTCTATTTTCCTAAGTGACATGAATTGTACAATGATAACTATTTATCTGTTGCCTTTTAGTGAGTTGGGGGTACCTGGTACATATTCCAATTCGGCATTTGACTCAGTCTCCTAAGGTGAGATCAAAGATGCTTTATTTTGTCATGTTGATTTCCAAGGCCTTTACTGTCCTTCTCCATTCTCCATCAGAACCTTTCACAATTATCTGTAACACAATTGGCCTTTGGATGGGGAGCAGAAGGAGTGGGTTCAAGGCTGACTCCTGTCCCATCCTTCCCCTGGCAACTAGCTATTTGGCTATGAGCCTGATCCTGTGCAAAATAGTTCACAGCTGTGAACTTGCAAACAATGAGGTAAGGAAGTTGAGCCACAGTCAAAATGTCTAAGCCAGATAGTAGATGAGAAGCTATGAGGTAAACTGCTCTGAATCACCTATAAGAGTTCATAAGCATGAACGAAGTTGGTGCAAATATGAGATATGTTAGCCTGAAATCAAAGCCAAAAATCCAAGAGAAGGAAGGCGCTGGTCAAGGAAAACAGGTTTGTTATTACAAAGTTTGAATCTGTTCCTTAATCAAGTGTCAACCGCCTCGACACTTCCTTTAGCCTAATGTCTTACCCTTTCTAAAAGCTGCAAGATTGTTGGATTATTCTATGACATGATACTTGCTCAAGGTCTGTGAATGACTCTTGACTATCAAAACTCTTAGTTGTGCAAGTTTCTATTCAACAGCATCAACCTCTATTGACTGAGAGCTTTCCCACAATAGCAATCCACTGGCTTTATGTCTTTCCCATTGCATCTGAAAAATCCATAACCTACTTGGAATCACCATGACACTCTCCGTGGATCAGCTGCTTCAAAGATCAATGTTAGCTTTTAAAATGGGCTTTAACTATTTATTTATTTTACTTTATTTCCATAGCTCCCTATCTCAGCAAATGATATTTTGCACTGTTTCCATTGCCAATTATCTTGAATGCCCATTTCACTGTCCAATATATGGAAACATATTACATGAATGAAATAATAATATAAATTATCGCATGGAAAAACAAATTACTGATTTAATTTATCACAATATATACCTTAGACAAGGCATATATTTTATACAAAGAAAATGCATCCATATCCATAAACAAATATATCTCGACAGCCTGACAATTTCTGTTTATGGAGATTCTCAGTCATCTAGGTCATTGTTGTCCCAAAGGTGCTCGAAGCCTTCAGGGCATGAGACCAAGTGGTTTCAACAACTCTCAGATAACAGATAATCAGAGTTGGAAGGGTTCTTGTAGGTCATCTAGTCTTGTAGGTCATCTAGCCCAAGTGGGAGACCCTACTCTCAGAGACAGTGCTAATGACCAGATGACTGCAAAAAATATAAATCCGTCTCTTCTCCACCATTCAGTCAGAACTGAAGAAGCTTCTTGGATGAGAAGTGAAACGTCTTCAAGAAAAAACAAAGAAAGTCCAGTTGCCTTTTGAAAAAGCACCTTTGAATCTGATAACTTCTGTGTTCCCAAATATGTTTCCTTAAACAATTATTTCAACATTAAATCCAGCAATTTAAGTATTTCTTCTACTCCTACAAAATTAGTTTTAATTATAACATATTCTATTTACCTGAACTGGTGCTGCCCAATGGGTTGGATTTCACTTTCCATAAATCTCAGCCAGCATACCGCAACCTTTAATTCCAGAAAGCATGAATGTAAATTGAAATTCAACCTACCTAGAATGTGCCACATTAGGGAAGCCTGATCATTTGAGTCCATGTCAGATGTAATTGCTTTCTTAACATCACTTGTTTGCTTATTTTTTCATATTAATAAACAAGTTATTTTTTTCTTTATATCCCACAGAACTCATCTGGAACATGCTATGAAGAAAAACGCTGATGCAATGGAATACACCTCAGTTCAGTTCTGTTAATATTAGGATTTGGGCTCACTGAAAGTCAGAGAAAATAAATTAATATTTGAAACATGTAGCTTTAAAAGATATCTTGCATGGAGCAGATAACAGATAATCAGAGTTGGAAGGGACCTTGTAGGTCATCTAGTCCAACCCCCCCGCCCAAGTGGGAGACCCTACACCATTTCTGACAAATGGCAGTCCAATCTCTTCTTGAAAGTCTCAAGTGATGGCGCTCCCACAACTTCCGACGGCTAAGCTGTTCCATTGGTTCATTGTTCTCACTGTCAGAAAGTTTATCCTTATTTCCAGGTTAAATCTTTCCTTCCATTCACCATCCAGCTACAGCACTTAAAGGATCTCAAAATTTCCCAAAATTCATTGTCATTTATCTTCTGGCAAGATGTCCTGAAATGACCTATGTTCTTCCCATGTTATTGGACTTTTAACTACTCAAAACATTGCTAACCATTATTGCTAAAACATGCTGTAGATATGCCAATAAGTCTTTTGGTGAAATTGTGGCTGATTTTCCAAGATGTACTAATTTTAATATTGACTTTAAAAAACAAACAGAAATGTAGATTTAAAAATTGTTTCTACCTGTTTTCTTGTATCAAGATACAGATGTAAAGACTTAATAAATCTTGCTTCTTTCAAAGCTTGCTTTTCATAATACAAATATATATATAAAAAATACATAGAAGACATCTGTGCTCCATATTTTTGAAAGACAATATCCAGCTTTTGCAGTCACCCTTGTGGCTTTTGAGACTTTACTAGAAATTGTTCACATACTGGAATTTAAATAATGGCTAGAATCTTGTTTTCAAAGGCAAATGAAAGAGGACAACTTTAGGGAAATGTAAGCTGCAATCAATGACACATTCTGCACATGTAGCAAATACATGAAAAGTCAAAAGTGTTGATCATATACTGTTCATTTTCAGGAGTCAAACATGCTTTATATTTTAAATGAGCAATCTCTTATTATAATTAACATGGCTAGTTATCAAATGCTCTAAAATCAATACTACCTTAAAAGTACAGTTTGGTCAACTATCTGGTTAGGTATTGTTAGTGGACTTATTGCTCCAACACAGCCAAATATTTCAGACTCGAACAAGTGTCGCTAAATTGCATTGCTTTTTTCATTGTCTACTACTATTTACAACTAGAAAACGCAACTTTCCTAGCATGCTAAAGTAATAATATAACAGACTGAAATCTTCACAAAATTAATTAGATATTGTCAAATCTCAGCCTAATCCATCTCATAGTGATGAAAGATATGATTATAATGGGAGGACATAAATGTAATAAAATTCATTCTTTTCAAATTAAAGTTATTGTTTCATAAAAGCCATATTTTTGTAACTTGAAAGAAAATAGGGGACAATATTATAAATTATATGATTGTGATATGAAGATAGGGATTGATTTCTTTTTGTTTAAAACAAGCTAAAACAGCAGCAGTAGGAAATTGTAATGTTTAAGGATTAAAATATGTAATACTTTAAACTCTTCTCATGCATGTAAAATATTATTTACCAATATGTGTATTGTGTTGTACTGAGTAGCAACTCTGTTTTTAACAAACTGTACAAAATGAAGATTCCCACACAGAAGAGGCTCTAGTATAGATCCTGCATTGATCACCAAAGTTTTCCATAATGTTGCAAAAGATTTCTGGACATTTATTCATTTCTTGCTATTTGTCAGAGAGATAGTTAGACTATAAAATAGTTTGAATGGAATCTATTCATTTTTCAAGAACTGTTGTGATCTTTTTTTCTTAGTTTGAACCAATTTAGATTCTTTAAGGGTTATCTAGTCTTCTGAAGGGTTTCTCTCAAATGCTAATAACTGATTTTATAATTTATATGTGTTTCTTGTGGCTTGGACAACTTCTCTTTGCATTTGGTTTCCAGCCAATCCTTGCCTAGACTTCCCTTAAATTTCATTGTTTTTCTTAGCCTTTCTTACATGTCTAATATTGTCAAACCAATGAGTTTTTTTATGTACATTTCTATTCATCACATGATACTCTTTTGAAATGAGCAATGTTACACAAAATTCATAAAAAATAGGAAAAAGAGAATTTGGAGGAAAGACAGAAAAGGAACTCTAGATATAGTTTACACTAATATATCACTATATGTTTTTATATATTTGCAAACCATCTTTTCTTTTCATACTGTATCAATTAATACACTGCATTTGCTTTTTTAAAGGTTGCATTATCTAAAGTAAGCACATCCATAATATAGAGCAAATAATTAATGTAGAGATTTTAACTAAGATCATACATCAAAGCAGCTGATTTCACCTTATGACAGCAGGTTCTTCAAACCATCTACTCTGGCCCCAGGATAGTTATCATTGTTTCTCATCTTTTCCCTACAGATTTAACACCTGTGTGTGCCTTTTCTTTACCACTTTCTCTTTCTTCTCTCTATGAACTGAACTACCAAAAAAAAAAAAAAAGCCTTTTCCAGCAGAAACTGATTTTGACTTGATTCACTACAGCACCCAACTCCAGTTTTCCTTTAGCACTATTTTCCTTGTATTGATTTTGCATCAGTTTTCTTCATCGTTGTTGACCTGTTATATATTAGAAGTCTGAAAGATCGGGCCACCTCACCTGCATAATTTCTGATGCAGTTAAATCTAACGTCAAGATTTCAAAGACCGTGTTTCTGCTTCCAGAATTTTTGATTTGAGGCTAAGAATACAGCACCCGGGCACCACTACTAACTGTAACATCCCCTAAGTAGGATTGTACAAAAGTATCTAAAGCAATGGCAAACCACTGTTGGAAGAAATATCCTTCTGGGTTCAGTTCCAAGTGGGGAAGAAAGACACTGGAAACATGGTGACTGCTTGGAAAGATGATTTAATGGTGGACAGGACTACATGGCTTGGAGCTCCAAAGTGAAAAGGGTGATCACATACTTCAAGATGTTGGGTGAAGGAAAAGAAAAAAGGGAAGAGATGAGAGTCCCTTTGTTTTATGCCCTCTGTTGGGATTTGAATTTGAGCTTGTATTCTGATTGGTTGTCAGACTCTCATGGGGCCATGCAGGAGCTGTCCTGAGTCCCAGGCTTGGTTGAACCTTGCTGGACAATGAGGATGTAATGAAAGGGCTTTGGGCAAATCCCAAATAGCTCTACCTGAAGATCTTTGTTATGTAAAATAGACTGGCCCAGGCCAGAGTAATAGTCCATTAGCAAAGGTGGGGGGAGAGGGGCTGAGTTTCTGCTTCTCTGAGTTTCTACTTTTCTTTTTAGGGGAAATATTCTGCCTTTTTAGTATATCCTAAAATATTTCATTTTCCTAGGAGGGGGGTGGGTTTTAACTTCCAACATCACTTCTGAAATCTTGCCAAAAAACTGCAGGGAATCATCATGCGCTGACGATGTTTACTAGTCGGATAATGAAACATCTTCAAGCAAACAACCAAGCTCAGAGGCTCAGAGAGCACCAAGGATTCTTTCCACAATCAAGACTGGCTCAAGCACAAAACAGGACAAAAATCTTTAAAGCGGGGAACCCAGTCTTGCCTTGAAATCTACAAGGCTGCAAATAATTCGACTAAGTTCTTTGAAAAAGTTCCCAGCCTGTCTTTTAAAAATGGTGAAAAACCTGGAGGGCAGAGCTGGCATCACGACCATACGGCATGCGATCTTGGAGGTCTGAGATCGCTGCTGATATCTTTGCTCCTGGACGGTCCTATCGGATCTAAACTGTCCCGAAGAGATGGTGAAAGTGAAGTGCGCATCCTGTCGATCCCAGGGATACCGCAAAGTCCCTGGTAGATCCAGGAGAAGCTCTTCTTGCCAGCGGCAAAGAGGCAGCCATTAAAGCTGCTGAAGTTGGGACAGCTCCGAAAGGGAAGAGAGCAGAAAGAGAGAGTGTGCCGGTTTGGTGAGAACTTCTTTTTTACTCTAAGATCTGAAAGGACACCCTAAGGAAAAGAAAAAATCTGTAAAAGTTATGACAGAAGTGATTAAGCGGCGATTTTAAACAGGAATGTCAAAGTAATGTTTGTTTGTTTTTTCTCATTGCTGGATTTTCTATATATGATCTTGTATTTTGAAACTGGACTGGTTTTTTCATTTATATCTATTTTTTTCTTCTCCTTTTTGATTTTGTAATATTTTAGGCTAGAGGCTCCCTTTAGTTATTTCATTTTTTAAAAATATCTTTTTCTTTTTTTTATTAATTCTTATTATATCCTGCTCGGAAAAGGAGGGGGAAAGTGAGAGCAAAGAAACTTTGTAACACTGCCAACTAGAGGCTTGGAAATATTCTATTTCTCTTGTGACCAGACAAAGCTGAGAAAGAAAGAACTGAGACTCTTTTTCAAGGGCATTGCTATTTGATAAGATAGAGGGAAGAGCATGAGAGAGTATTATTGCAGGTGCTCTTCTGGGTTTCTATCAACAGCTGGAGTCTGGTGTTGAAATGTAGGGGGAAAAAAGGTGATAAGTTTTTGGAGAAGAGTGTTATAATAACAGCCTTGGATAATTAAACAAAGTGCAGTGTGCCCTTTTTACTTTTCCTAAGTTGTGCTATCCCTCCTCACCAGCTTTATTGTATTTTTTTTATTTATTTTTTTGTAATAACTATTTGGGTTTTTGGGTTTGTTGGAGCTTGTCTTTGTTTTTCTTTCTTTCTTTTTTTTGGAAGTCCAATCTCTACGTTTGCTTTTTATTTTAAAGGGAAAGCCTTAAAAGCCTCTTTTTTTCCTTTCCTGGTATTTTTGTTTTTTCATCTACCTTTCTGGTTTATTCTTATGCACTTTTTTCTATTTGAGACCTTTCAATTGGATTAAGGTGTTGAAGAACCTGAAGAATTTTTTTCTTTTTTCTTTTAAGTTCTTTTTCTTTATCCTACTATTGATTGGATTAAGGTATACAAGAACCTGGAGAAATTTTGTCCTCCCCTTTTCCCCCCCTTTTTATTATTATTATTGGGCTTATTTTTTCTACTATTTTTATTTTGAACTATAATTGGTTACTTCACAATTGGTTTAGAAGAACCTGAAGGTTTTGAATTGCTTAAAATGAGTAGGAAATTTACAGCTCCTGGTTCTTCAACTTCTACTTCTTCCTCTCTACCATCTGGAGGACAATGTTCAATACAGACAATGTTAAAGCAAGAAAAAGAACAAGAAAAGGGACTCTGCAGATGATT